TGAAAGGAGCTTGTAGGGAGGTGGGTGTCTGCCTCTTCTCCCAGGTAGCAAGTGATAGGATGAAACGGCCTCAAGTTGTGCCAGGGGAGGTTTAGACTGGATATTAGGAAAAATTTCTTCATTGAAAGGGTTGTGAAGCATTGGAACAGGCTACGATCCCTGGATGTATTTGAAAGACATGTAGACGTGGCACTTAGGGACATGGTTTAGTGGTGGACTTGGCAGTTAGTGAGTTTACAGTTGGACTTGATCTTAAAAGTCTTTTCCAGCCTAAATGATTCTATGATTCTATGATTCTGGGCAAGTCACTCTGTGTCTTTACTGGACTCTGAGAAGATATAACTCTTCTAGCTTTTGTCACTTAAGTCAATCCTGTCTTTAAGTTCTTCATTGTTCTTGTTGCGTTTATGAATAGCACTTAACAGAAACAAACCTCACTGGAGGCCTATCCTACCTTAAACCAAAGGAACTCAGTGGAAGCTGTATTTTAGGTGATAGATGCTGCCATTCCACAGATAAAGATGATAGGCATGGTAAATACTTTTTTGAATGTCAAGGTAAAGACAAACAAAGTAGAATAGAAGGGTACAATTCATTTTTCCAAATCCCAGCCATATAAAAATTAGGCTTCTAGATTAAGGTAGTCAATTAGCCATGAAAGACCCAGCCTGTGGACAGAGATATGTTACATCTTAGGACAAATGCATACAGCAAGTGGAGGTGCTTATCTCCCCCTCTTGATGACAGAAGGACTAAATTAGACTAAATTTAAAGCTGAAGTTAGGCGAGATGAACCCCCTTTGAATGCATGTTTATAGCGACTGGATGGAAAACATGCAGTCAACTGTACTCGTATGTATGCAGGGGGGGAAATAAGAACAAACAAAGACACTAGGAAGCAGACATTAAGACATACTGTTAATTATAAAAACTATAATGTCTTTTATGAAAGAAAGTATTAAGTAGAAATAAAGGACAGAATAAACATCTGGGTAGGGATGATAAATGTTCTATGATAATGTATTTCAACCATGGAGTGAATGCTGTTTCAATTTGCAGTGGCCTGTGGGAGGTCATGCATGCTGCACTATCAATACTGAAATCCAGGAATATATTTATGTCTAAAACCAGGGAGGAAAGATGAAACAACACTGGTGGACCACACAAATAGTTCGCTGTGTCATTCACTAAGCATCTTCCCAACAGCTTTTGACAGAAAAACATTTTCAGGAAGGCAAGTTGTTCTTTAACAATTAGCCAAGTTACACATTTGGTCTTAGCAGAGCTTCTTTTTTTAAACTTTCCCTAGCAATACGTTCAGAGACACACAACTTCCCCTAATGTCCTTCACAAATATGTCCGTAGTGTAGACATTTGACATCCTACATTGCACTATTAAGCTTGTTCATTTTTCATAGGAATGGTTTTCCATTCTCTATGAAAACAGACTAGGTAGCCACATTCTCTTGCCCTTCCCAAATAGATTTGTTTTGAAGGACAGAGAACAGCTCCATTTCAAAGCAGGGATGTCTCCAGGGAAAATCTTTTTCCCTTTCAAAACTAGTCCTGTCATAAGCAATGCAAGACTTAATTTTCAAGGAAATGATAATTTTAAGCACTGAGGGATTTTGAAATGGGCCTGTTCAGTCTTGACAGGTTAGGCTACAGTTATATTATCTAAATGAAGGCACAAATATGTGTATAATTTAGGGGAAGGCTGCCTTCATCTTGAGTAGCCTGGCACCAAGCAAACAGTTGTGAAAATCGTAAGTCTTCTTGAAAAATGCAGCAACCCTTCACCAATCTAATAATACTCAGTTTCTCTTTCATAACCCAACTTCTCCTCAAATGGAAATGAATTTTGCATGCAGTGGGATCTTCATCTATTTTTCATGAATTATAGTTTAAATAGTTATATGCAATCTTTTATGAACACTGCAGGCTGCTACAACCTTCCTTCTTCTTTGGTTTTATACAGAAGTTATCGAATGAGAAAACTATGAAACCTCATTCTAAGGGGTTTTGTGTGTGCCAATGGATATTTCCCCAGGCAAAAACCTTGAATTATGTCAATCCTTAGGGAAAAGAGTGAGTATTTTTATTCAGAGAATGGTGGGTATTAAAGCTTGAAAGGTCATTTTAGAACATTTACTTTTTCCCAAAGCAGACTTGTTTCTTATCGTAAGGAGTTTATTGCAAAGAACTAAACACAATTGAGCTCAGGAAAGGAGGCACCATATGCACTACTGTAACATCAAACCTTCAGTGGTCACGAATCATTTATAAATTTGATTTAAGCCTCATGGGACATCAATAAGCATATGAACTATCAAAACTGGCCCATTTTAGCCAGAAGCTAACTTCAATTTCTATTACAGTGATCAGGCAGGGGAAAAGAGTGGTGAAGAATTCTCTGCAATAGAAACATCCCCAAAAGTTAATGCTCACATTATTTGGATAAGAAGCTTAATGACTTAAAATAAGCCTGTGAGCAATCTACACCTTCTGTTCCAGTTTGAAAATAACTGAAACTCTGAGGGGAAATGGCAATTCTAAATTAAAGCTTGTATTGATTGTGTCTCATTAAAAGACTCAGATTCCATAATGCAAACCTCTCCGCATCAGACCTAGAAAATGCATATCCTCAGCAGCGTTTTGCTACTGCTTATTTCCAAGGGGACAAATCACAATTCTGATCACAGTAAATTCTTATTCTAAAACTGTTTTTTCTTTTAAATGTCATGTTAAAGGGATCATTCAATATCTCCTTGTTGCAGAAGATGGTTCCTATATTCAGCCCAATGAGAATTGCAGGATGTTGTTAAGATCATGAGATCACTAGAAAATTAAATGGCCTATCATTCTACATAAGTAATGATTTGTCAAAAGGTCAGGAAGTGCAAGAGTTTACTTGAATATTCTGTGACCTAAACCAATTAAATATTAAAAAGCCCACATACAGTTTGAAGAATGGAAGTACACATTTTGAAAATGTAGGATTATATAGTAGCAGTGTGCAAGATAAAATAGTACCTTTCTGTTAGAGTGTTTATCTCAATTCTTAATGCATTTAACAATTCATTATTAATTTAAAAATTAATGATGTGATTTGTTAACTCATAGCAGTTCCACTCACTCCATCTATATCCCTCTGTCCTTGGTGAAATAACATTAGATACCAACAGGTAAAAAAACCCACCCCAAGTCCTCAACAATCAAATAAATAAATCTGACCTCCTACCTCTTCAGCTTTGCTGTCCGATGGCTGTGGAACTGACAAGGTTCTGAACTTCAGTTGACTAGGCTTATCAAAAAAGGCTGTACAATAAGTCTGTCTCTGTTCCACCTCTCCTGGAAGAACTAATGACCCTGCTGAATAAAAAAGTCAACTTCAACCTTCCATTCAATGTATAAATTAGCAAAATCCTGTAGTGCTCAGGCAGAAGCTTGCTAGTTAAAGTGTGCTGTACTTATTGTTGCGTAACATATAATATAGGCAGTTATCTTTAAAATGGATCCATGCAGTCCTGAGCTAAAATCTGGATAATAAAATATACTATACTAAGGAAAAATCAAACTTGGTTGAAAATAAACAGATAGCCCTTTCTTCTTCAGGACACTGAATTAAAAATCTGGATGTAGATGCTCCTAAACTCAGAGAATACCTCGAATTAGACTAATCTCTTTCATAACAAAGAATGAAGGTCCTGAGCAGAGATGTCTGCAGTAGGAGTTATAAAATAACAGACTGAACTCCGGTCTTGCCATTAATTAGCTGGGCAGTCTCATTCAATTCTCTTTTGCTAGAATTTCACCACCCGTACATTGGGCATAAAGAAACTTTGCAAAGCATCTTAATATGACTCTCCCAAAACATTATGTAAAAACACCTGGTAGAAGTACTAATATTCCCCACTACAGTGCCAGATGACTTTCTTGTCCAAGGATATTTCATGGATGTTTTCTCCTCCCTGAGCTTTCCAAAAAGAGGTACTTGAGACGACTTCCCTACGTCTGGAACACAGCAACATGTAACCTTTCGATACAGGCAGGATTTAGTCCACAGTTCACAAATGCACAGACTTTCTGAATCACTTTTCCTTTAGATACTTATGCAAAACATTCATACTGGGAACAGTGTGTTTGCTTTCTGTGACAGCTCAGAAGGATATGCCTTAGTTTTAGAAATATCTTTTAACATGAATCAATCTCACCTCTGCTACTGCACAGATGTGTCCATCTTGTCTCAGAAATGTTTTTATGAAGGAACTTAAGGGGACCATATGTCTTGTAATTTAGTCAAAGGATTATGTAAATCTATCTACTATTTTTCCTGGCTGATACATAAGTTCCTCTACAGGTTTATACTACATTTTAGTAGCTTGATTTCCTCTTGAAATCTCAGAATAAATTTTCAAAGTGTTGTTAAATGTTAGTTAATGGAAGCAATAAGAGGGTACATAGATCCAGGGTGAAAAGGAATAAGTAGCTCTTTATCTCTACCTACACACTTCCACCCCAGTAAAGGAGTGCAGATCTCTCATTCTCCTGTAAATCTGCATTTGAACGTAATGATTTCCTAGCTAGTCCTTTGTGAAAAATCCATGATTGAATTCTTCATTTAGTTTTCTTCTGGGAATTGTGTACTATTTCGAAGCCAGCAGGGCTTTGGACTTGTAAAGTAGAATGTTCTTTAAAAAAGAGCCGAATTCATTCCCTTGGGTACCACATGGATTTTCTTCTTTTGGTTCGTGACTCAAGTATAAGTGGCTTCCAGTTTTCACCCCTATTCTCTTGGATGCTTAATATCTATGTCTAGTCATCTATGTGCTTTCAGTACTTGTTCTCAGCATAGCATCTGATCTTATTCTGCATCAGTTATATGAGAAAGTTTTCTGAAAAGAACAGTGCAATCCACAAGGATATAAGCTATGTCTCCACATGCTCTGCAACTGCTTTTTTTAATCTTTCATAGCTTGGGTCAAAACTATTTGTGGGACAGAAGGAAGATGTGAATGCTCATTTGATGGCAATGGCATCTTCTGTTGTTTTTTCAAACTTGCACCCTAAATATATACCCTCACTGAAGGAAGGAAAGCCTGGGGATCAGGAGGTTTGTATCACCTCTTGATATAAACAGTGATTATTTCTGTACTAAGAGCTTCCCCCACCCGCAACAGACCAATCCATGGAGAAAAGATGAGGAGGAAGCACTGTTATGCAACAGTCTGGCAATGGCTCAGAAAGACAACTCTTAAAAATTAGGACAACAGAAAGAAATTTATTTTTGCTTTTAGCAAGAAGTGCTTGTCATACTCAAAATGTCAATTCCACTATTTTAAGGCATGTTAGTAATGCAAACAATGTTTCAAATTCCCTTCAATCACCCCGTAAGAATGTGGTAATCAACCTTTGTTTGCCAGTAGACATGCCAGAAATGAGCTTTGTCTCTCTACCCTGGCTGCATGACAGCATATGAAAGTCTAATCGGTAAATGCTGCTTTCCCTGATAATGTTTAATCAAGAAACTCCTTCAAGAGAAAAATTAGGGAGTTTTGAGAGTCCTCTTTCTCAGTGGGAGCTCCCAAAGGAACTGTAGGCTACTGTAAATTCTAGCCAGTACCTCACAGCTGTTTTAGGCTGATGCTACAGTACCAGTGGATGATGATCCTAATTAAGCGGCTAATTATGTTCTCTGTGGAGGTGATTAATTAGCAATAGGAAAGCCTTGGATACTGCCAACGGCACCATATGTAGAGATAACTGAGCAGGCATTGATATCAAAAATCTGAGAGGAGGTTTTGAACTGCACCTCTCTTCATACTGTGAAGAATCAACTTCCTGGATGATATGGCAGTGAACTCTGATGATTTTACTCAAGTCCAGCATATGTTAATGAGGGTGTATTTGGAAACTGAGCAATTCTCTTCTCTTTAGTCCCTTTTCCCCACAACACAACAGACCCACAGAAACTGATTACTATATCTGTGAACACTGCTGAATTGGCGTTTTTTGCTCATTGTGTACCATTGACATTAGTTGTAAGTATAGAAAAAAAAAATCTACTGGCACAAACCTCATTTGAACTTTCAAGAGTGAAGAAGTTCAAAATCCTGTCTATATCTTTAGCTTCACTGTAGCCAAATGATGCCCATCTATAGATACACTAACACAGATTTTACCACTTTCAGGCATTACATTTCACAAAAATGCTGTTGATGGGGAGCTGAGGAGGGAGGTAGTGATAACGAAAAAAGCTTAAAAGCTAAATTTTGCTCTCTCCTCTGATTCTCAGGCTTGAGGCTGTTAGCCTCAAAGAGCTGCCTAGTGTGAAAGAATCTCAAGGAAGTGTTAAATGGATTGCAGAGACTGGAATAGAAAAAAAAAGAGATTCACCCATTGCGGGGAGCCCCACACCTGAAAAAAATCCACTTAATTTAACTCCAAATCCTCTTCCTCAACCTGACTTTTCTGGATGTAAATATAGGCTCAAAATATAAATGGAAATGCATAGATTACAGAAAATAATATATAATGATGTAAACAGATATTGATGTAGTTTGCCTAAAGAATCATTTAAATAATCAGTTATGCTTGAATCATTTAAATAGTCAGTTATGCTTGGCCTCAGCTTCAAAGTAACTGCGTCACTTGGGTTGTCCCCAAACTCTGTGGGGTTACAGAGAACTGGGACGTTGAAAAGACAAGTTTACAGTACCTTGGGGCTCCAAGCCGGATTAGGATGAGACCTGATATCCTTGCCAATGCAGCCTCATCCATATATTTAATTACTCCTATTTTAATTTTCTCTTGTATTTAAAAAATAGCACACTCAAGGTCTCTAGACATGCTTTTTACATATTTTGAACTTTATATGAGTATTATCTATTATTACCTAACTATCCTTTGAGCCCTGCAGCAAGTGATTTGTCACCAGTCCTAGAAAGGAATTCTGTTGCCAAGACATAGGTACTAGGCATTGTCCACCCATCCCTGAAGAAAGCCTGACCATCTCTATTGTTGCCTTAAGCTACTTACAGTTATAGATTAAATTCAATGAGAAAGAGCGATTAAATAGTCCACCACACACATGCTGTCTCTACAAAACGCATTAAAGCTATGGTTTAGGGCAGCAATTTTACTTTGCCAATCATGGTTTACTGTGCCAATGTCCCACAATGCAAAGCATTATCCTGGTTTCAGGCTTTCAGCCCAGTGCTGTCTAATGAAAACAGTTACAATGAATTTGCATACTGGACAAATCTATGGGCTGTTTTTTGGGGGGGGGGTGTTTTGTAAGAAGCAGCTGTATTCATTCACACATTAAGAGACATTTGACTTAGGAAAGTAAATTGAAAAAAAAAAATAAAAACCCACTAAAATGATTCTTACAGGACATCTCCCAAAAAGCACTGGTTTGGATGGGATCCTTTAACACCTATTTTCTATCATGCTTTTCACACTGTTAGCTTTCAGCCACTTCCCCCTAAGTGTGAATATTTATTGTATTAATGCAGAGTTGACAACTCAGGTAACTGATCTGCCCTTCAGAGCTAAATGAAGTACAGCTATACCGAACTGTTGCCAATAACAAGTAGAGATAAAAGCTTGTTGTAATTATACTAGCAAGGTATGGTATTTTTCATTGGGTATCCTGAGCCATTTTGTCAATATGAAGTTTTAAATCTATCATTTGTTCTGACATACAGGTGGCAGCATTTAAAAAGGCCAGCAACAGAATGTCTTTCAAATTTGTGTCAAACTTTGCCTCACTTATAAACTAACTGGAATTCTTCAGAATTAATCCTTTATTAAGGTGGTCAATAAGGATATTATTTTATATTACTTTATTATTATGAACAATAGAAGCAACATCATTTTATATTTTGATTTGCATTCTGTTGCTATGGTTTCTACAGGAGTAAGATTTTACTCTTATGAAGCCTATCAAGTGAATTTTGACATGTAAGACAACTATCAAACTGTAAGTCCTATTTTCTGCACTTAGCAGTCAAGGGGAAATTTTTCATCTTGACTCAACAACTATTGACACTGAAGAAGCCATGGGCAAGACCCAGACTGTGGGTAAATTTGGATGCTGCTCGCTTTCCTTACAGAGTTCAGAAGGAATAATTAGCTTCTGGCTATGCAGTGTTTTATGTTATAAAATACAATCTAAATGCTTAATGCTGTTAGTGAGCACTGTTGATTGCTTAGGGGTTGATACGGCTTCTTTCTGAACTGAGGCAGTCTGTGCAGGGAGTTTGTACACAGAGTGCTGTCTCATGGGAACAGCTGAGGACAGCAGAGATTGAAAGCCAAATCAAATGTCACGTAAAAAGCGATTAGTTAGCACACTGACAATTTACAGTAGTTGTGGTATAATATTACATTTATTATTTTTATAATGATCAATAAAAGCACTAACTGAAAAGTTTTCCCAATGTGGCTTGGATAAAGTGCTATTCAGACAGTACAAGCAGATGATCATTTTTGTAATTCTCATCTTGTTCAAATGCAGTCCATTTTACTAGGGGTTTCTAAACGTATGTGATTAACATTTACTCTTGCACACACACACAAAAATGACTGAAAAACTTGGAGAAAGGCAAGGTCTGGCATGGTCCAGAAAGTGGCAAGCTATCCCCAAAGTCTGGCAGAGCTCTTCTTTCCTTGCTGCCCTGCTTGGTATTTTAGTGTTGGGCTTATTTCTCATCATCCAATTTGTGGCCTGTTTTGAACTAGAGATATCAAACAATACTTCCGTGAACTAGATATAGACAATTCTCATTCCATTATGATACAAGTGAAATGTGGGTTTAGGCTTCCACCAGTAAGCCCCAGGTCTTTTTAATTATTATATTACCAGAATTTAAGACATAAACACAGAACAATGTCCTATGAAGGGAAAAATGGGCACATATGAACACTGCACTCAAAAGGCATCTCTAACATCTGTACCTGATACAGGACTGCTATCTTAGTCCCTCCTTGCTGAAATGCCCAGGTGGGAGAAAGAGTGTTTGCCGTAAACCTGACTTATGTTGGTTTATTATTTTCTTGTGAGTTATAGCTAAGCTCCAAATATTCATCAGCTTGAAGTCTCTAAGCCCTTTGACTTCATAGGAATTCTGCATATACAGAAAAGAAAGACTAAACAAATCTTTAACAGGTTAGACAGACTAATCAAATGTCAATAACCAAGGAACCGAGGACCAAAGTACTGCTCTGTAGAGCTTCTTTCAGTGACATTAGGCAAATCCCTTAATCTGTGTGTCTTGGCTTCTTTGTGCTGTCACAGGTATAGAGGAGGAAAATTAATTTAATCATTAAAAGATTGTCAATTCTGGTGGTAATAAAAACTACACAAGCACTTATGTTAGACTATGGTCACTAGGTTTCTCTTTACTTTTTAGAGGTAGGACAGTTAAAATTATAGATGTATGGAACAGTTCAACACAACTCAAAATGCTCATAATTGGCATTCTTAAAGAAGTTCACTGTGAATTAAAAACTAGTGTCATTTATTTTAAGCCCAGGAGGAAATAATTTTAATAGGTAGGGACATCATTTTCATTCAACATTTACATTTTATAGAACTCTCTCTTAGCACCAACGTTACTTTGCGCAGAAACTTTTATCATCAAAATAATTTCAATACAAAAAACAGTGAAGAAAAATGTAGAAATGTTGCTAAGAAGAAGAATCTTGCAATTCTGATAAACTGCTCACCAGGACACAGTCTTCGTTATAATTTATTATAATCTATATCATAACCTCTTAGAGTGAGGAAATTAGTACTTTAATCTGGGCAATTTGGGCAATTTGGGATATTTTCTAGCAATAGAAGAACTGAGGAAGAACATCTTTTTTAGAAGAGAAATGATTCTTTAAACAATGTCCACACACTTGCATCCAAAGACAATGATAGTGAATATGAAGGTGGGGAAAGCCTACCACTGCATGTCTCCTCATCTGTGTCTGTATCTTCCAAATCTAAGTACTTGTCCACCTGCTGTAAAAAAAACAAATTGGAAAATAGATTAAAATTTATTAACTCCATTCCTTTTAGTACAACTTAGAGCAAAGCAAAAAAGCATTAAATTGTCATCTTCATCTTCTCCATTCTCCCCTACATTTTTTCAAGAAAGAACATGAATTTCCTTTGAAATGTGTAGCCCAAAGGAAATACTTTTACATATAGGCAAAGAATTGCTGCCAAAATTGCTGTATATCAACTACAGTGATGGGAAAGAAGCTCAAGCTGTACAGCAACTTTTTTAGGAACTTAGTGGGAAGATGGAGAAGTACATTATTTTCATAGGAAAAAGATACATGGTAAGTTAATCTGCAGTTTTGCAAGCTCACTGAATATGGCACAGAGACAATACATTCTGTAGGCAATGTAGAGCTTGATCCTTCTGTTTTGATACTAATGGTGAACTGAATGGGAAATAAAAAAGCTAAGAATTATCAAATTTTTAGTATTTCATCTGGGACATTGCACTACTGTTTTTTCAGGCTGATGTCCCTTGCAAACAGTCTAAACTATCTAAAACATACCACAACATGTTTCTTATTTCAGGTAGCACTCTGAAGAGAGGCACAGGGTGAGAGTGAAAGGCCTTATCCATACTATGTGCAAATAGTGTTATCATGGAGGATTTACTACATGCACTGGGTAGTCTTCTGTGTTTCCATGAAGTAATTAGAGATGCTCTTAGATATATTTTTCCAACCTGATTTGACACCATTCTCATCAACATTTACATAACCTTTACACTTTAAAAGTACATACTCATTAATATTTGAAAAAAATTTTGGATGGTGATGCCCTCATCCTTCTTTCCCATAGATGGAAAAGAAATACATCAACAAACTGCAAGTACTTTGTAAATGAATGTAAACTATCAGTCATGTTGTACACATACCCTCAATCCCCACTTTGAAGAAAATCAAAGAAAACCTCACCTTCACTCTTTCAGACAGACTGAGATCATTTCCATCAGAGCCACCAGCTTTCCAGCTCTCATTCATCACTGTCTGTAGACAGATAGGCAAGAAATATTTATATGCATGAAACAGAACCAAAATCACAGTTAAAGCTCCTACCGATCTACACATACATACAGATCCTTTATGGTGTAATTAAATTTTTTTTAAAAGTGAATGCAATGCTCCTGAAAGTAGAACATATGCAGGTAATCTTCTGAAATCCTACACAGGACCAGACTGAATCAATTGGAACAACAGTGCAAGTAATCATAACATGCCTAAAAAGTAGTATTTAGAAAAGAAGCATTGTTTTCAATAGTAGTTTTTCCCTCTTTCCTTTCCTCAGGGCAGGCTTAAAGGTTACAGTGGACAACTTACTGCATTACAGCCTCCTCCTGCTACTACGCTAGCAACTTTTCTGATGCATTCTACTATTACTGTTTGTTTCTTAAACTGCTAATAAGACAAAAATGTGCAGTCATGCCCGAAACTTTTTTTCTGTAGCAACAAAGACAAGTCTTAAGATGTTCCATTAACTAAAGGATAATGGAAGTTGCCTATCACTTTATGGGGCAGAAAGCCAATTCAAAGTGGCTAAAATAAGAGATCTAAAGGCAGTCTATCCCAAGGCAACTATATTCTTCATGAGAAAAATGGCAAAAAATTACACAATCAACTGACAGAATGGGATTGTTTTAAAACTCTTGCTTGATTCCACCTCAAAGGCATGTGCTAGTAGGGAGAAAAATGACAGCTTGTCCTTTTTGACAGTGGCCTGGCAGGCCCATCATTTCAAGGCACTTAAGTGTGTTGCTCTGTGTACTGCACGAAATTATCTGCTACTTCTTTTTTAATAAAAAGTTTAATGAAGGCAATTTTTGAGTACAGGCTAGATCACAGCTTAGTTATTTGTTACTCAGGCAGGAGGGCAGAAGTTCTTAAAAAGTGGACTCAGATTTCCATCTTGCTCTCTCCAGATGATGTCTGCTGTTCTCCTGTCCCTACTCATTAAATCCCTTATGTTTCAGAAGATTAAAAATGCCTCTGGCCTGCCTACTGTTTAGTTTAGGTATCTGAAACAATATAGTGTCAGTCACACAGAATTCAGTACTTGCTAAAATCCCCATGAAACAAAATAAACCTGTGCATGCTCTCAAGATTTTTACCTTTTTGCCAACCTCTACCTTTAACTAGAGCCTTCAGTGAAAGTATTAAAAAGGTCCTTGCAGGGCACCTTATTTATTAGTCAGATTATGGCAGCTCTTCAGTAGAGCAAATGCCACTGCCAAATGTGATCCCTGCAGGTGCCTCTGTAAGCATTACACACTTGGGTAGTATTTTAAATATTTGCCTCGCATGGGGTAAATACCACTAGCCTCTAACATTTGGACAGTGTATCTCCCCGTATTTTCATCTGTTTGAATGTGGTGTTTGTCCACATGGACAAATGTTAACTCATTACCTCATTCTCATTTGGCATCTGTGGTAGAAGAGACACACAAATTTCTTTGCTTTTTCCAAATGAGCCACACTGTTTATTTCTGTTTGGTAATTCAGAAGTAGAAAATGTTTTTCTTAAGGAGTCCACTTTACTTCCTTGAACTGTCTTCCCCTCTTCCTCTGCAAGAACAATCACACCAGATCAGATAACATAATGCAATAGCCAAGAAAAAGAAAAACATGCATGTCATTGGATTTAATATTGACTTATTTTACACCTTCACTTTTCCTCTCATGCTCAGAGCTTACATGTGCATCATATACATGTATTTTGCAATCTTTATCATAAAACTGAATATGCAGTTTGAATTTCAAGTGCACAGAGTATCACCTATTCCTCAATACTGAAGAATTCATTGTCTCAAAAGCTTATGCGACATATAGAAAACCTGGTAAAATAATCTGAGAGCTGAAAATATCCAAAAAAGCAAGACAGTAGAGTAAGGTTACACTTTAGTTTTAAAATAAAAACTTTGTTTAAATGCTCTCTGAATGCTGCACAAAATTGCACATAACATTTGTACCCATGCCTTCATCTGGCACTGCAAACACCAGCACATATGAAGAGAGTCTCTTCTTTGCGATGACACTATAAATCCCATAGCAACTGCACGCACTCATTTTAGATGTACATTTTTAGAATTAAAAGCAGAAACCCCACGTCATTCTCCAGCACCAACACACACTCCCAACACTCACATGTCTAGTTTTAAAACTCCAGCAACTATGCTTACGTGGGATCTGTGCTCACAAAATCACTTGATATCTTAAGCAGCTCAAGTGCACATATTCCTTCACATACCTAACTGATGGCGTACCTTCTTATCAAGGACAAGAAAGGACTCTGATTTTCATCACAGTACAGCGATGATCTGGTCCAAAAATGGAGTAGTTCTTGTATTTTCTACCTCATTATCTTGGTATCACCCTGTTTATACTATCAGCCCAAATATGTGCCCCATGTGTGAACCTCACAACCATTAGAGCAAATGCCCATGCTGTCTAGCATAGAAGTGTGTCTTGGCAGTTCTTGTCAGAGCTGATACTGATACTGGCCCTGAGATTTGCCCAGGGCCAGCACCCACAGAGCTCTCAGGTGTCCATGGGCACCACTACCAGAATTTCCACCGGTCCAGGACCATGTGATGAGATGCACTGACAGGTCCTGTAACCTAGTCCCTGTATCTTTAGTTCATACACCACCACCTTTGAGCTGATTTCTTTAGGCCCTGCTGCTTTCAGTGTTTAACAACTATAGTATGCTCTTGACTTCGCTGATTACCAGTTTGATTTCTTCTTCATATCAGCTTCATATCATATCTAACTGGGTAGGAAAATTTTGTGAGTAAATTTTTTTTCATTGGGATCACACTAACAAAAAGCAGTATGCCAGTGATATTTAATTGTCAGAAGTTTTGGTCCTGAGATTAAAGATTAAATACGGATGTTCAATCAGGGTTTGTTCCCTTAGGGGATTCCTTTGGTCTTCAAAGACAGACTGGAAAAATGTTTTGCCACTGAATTGACAGAAGATTGGAATAACTTCTCTTGTGTTTATTTTACACACCAATAGTGGCCAATTGGGCCCTTACTGAAAATAGGGAAGTATTTCGAAACAGAACCGAGTCTTTCAATGATAGCTTATGACATTTTTCAGACCTTTAACAACTCCTTGGACAACAAGAGTACAGTTAAGACAACTCTTAGTGCTTCTGACTGTCCTACCAGCCAGGTCCATGGGGCATGGAGCAGTCAGCAGAATTAGGATAGAGCTAGGTGATCATCAAGTTAAATCTCAACAGTACAGATTGAATCTAGGAGCTGATTAAAGATGAGGAAAAGTATGTGCATGGAAGTACGGATTTCTGAACCCATGGCAAAAAATATACTAATCATGGCCAAAACAAAAAAGCAGGACTTTTTATTTTAAAAGTCACTTTCTCAAACATGGAGCAGCTATAGGACAATCAATTCAAATGAACTTCACACCACATTTTCTTAATGAAAAATAAATGCTCATTTAACAGAGTTTCTTGGGTTTAGTTTGAAAAATCTACTTTGTAACAATAAGAAACACTGCAGTGCATTTGTAAAGTGTAATTATATGTTACAGGCATTGAAGTAATTCTTCTGGAGAGTTTTAATGATGCCCTTGGGGTTACTACATTGAGCCATCCACCAAAGCATTATTAATCCCCAGGGACAGCTCTGTGCTGCGTTTACTATGACACATAGAAAGGGCTGGCAGTCTAAGCATAACCTGAAGTCCACACTCATAAGAGTCAAGGTTTATAGAAAGAAAACTACACCACACCAGAGCAATCTAGCAAACAGATTTTAATGCTCAGACCACAGATGGATCCTCTGAATAATTTTGAAATTTCACGTCTCTTGATACGACATCTGGCTTCTCCCCGCTTTTTTAGCAAGTACTTTCCTAAAACAATACTTGGAAATAGCAGTACATATGGGCAATCTCTTCTTCCTACACAGTTTCTTTTTCAAGCCATGGAAATTGTCATAGTTTAACCTGGCAGGTAGCTAAAACAACCACACAGCCGTTCAGTTACGCTGCCTCCACCCCAGCAGGATAGGGGAGAATCAGAAAGAAGGTAGAACTCATGGGTTGAGATAAAGACACAATAGGGCAGAAAGAAAAAGAATAATAATAATGATAAAAGAATATACAAAACAAGTGATGGACAGCACAATTGCTCACCACCTGCTGACCAATGCCCAGTTAGTTCCCAAGCTGCAGTAACTCCCCAGACAACTCCCCCAGTCAACTCCCCCAGTTTATATACTGAGCATGATGTCATATGGTATGTAATACCCCTTTGGCCACTTTTGGTCAGCTGTCCTGGCTGTGTCCCCCTCACAGCTTCCCGTGTAGCCCCCGCCTTCTTCACTGGCAAGCCAGCATGAGAAGCTGGACAGTCCTTGACTGCTTGGCAACAACTAAAAATGTCAGTATGTTATCAAGATTACTTTCATCCCAAATCCAAAACATAGCACTAACAGGAAGACAATTAACTCCACCCCAGCCAAAACCAGGACAGCATCCACCCCTGACTCTATACCATCTACGTCATGCCCAGGTCATACAATTTCTAATACATCCCAATTCATCGCCACCACCTTTCCTGTCTTTTGATATATACACACAGACATCATTCCCCTAGTTTAGGGGCCATCCCTCTAAAATGTCTGTTTAGTTCATTTAGTCCATTACTTTGGGGTCCATCTATCATAACAGTCTCTCAGGGCAGGAGAGATGGCGTGTGGTCTTGGATCATTACATGCTGAAGCCAGTCCTGATTCTATCACCACTGCTCTTGGTTCAGTTTCACTAATCTGGGTGATTCTTACTATAATACCATTAACACAGTGATCATAGTAGTGATGACATACAGTATTATATAGCAATTAACAGCATATAATTCAAATTGGCTATCCTTCCCCAAAATCAAATCTCCTGGAGGTACACATTGGACTTCCTCATCCTGCCACATCACTCAACAGGTGCAAACAGGTCCTTGGGCAAAAGCAATCCCATTTTGAGCAAAAGGCATGGATTTGCTTTTGCCCGAGGCAGGAGTAACCCAGATTGTCTTCCCTAACATATTCTTTGTGTGTACCACAGGGACTTTATCCTCTTCTACCATATGTAAAAGTTTTCACTTGTAAGGGCCAACTCAATTGGTAGATCCCCAGTGCTGACTAACCAAGTGGCTTTTGCTAAATGTGTATCCCAGTGTTTGAAGGTCCCACCACCCATTGCTCTCAGTGTAATCTTTAAGTCCATTGTATCATTCAATTTTTGCAGAGGCTGGTGCATGACAGGGGATGCGATACACCCACTCTATGCCATGCTCCTTGGCCCAGGTGTCTATGAGATTCTTTCGAAAATGAGTCCTGTTGTCTGATTCTTTCTGGGATGCCATGTCGCTCTATGACTTGCTTTTCAAGGCCCAGAATAGTGTTCCAGGTGGTGGCATGGGCATGGGATACGTTTCCAGCCAGCCAGTGGTTGCTTCCACCATTGTGAGCACAAAGGGCTTGCCTGGGCGGGTTTGTGGGAGTGTGGTATAGTCAATCTGCCAGGCCTCCCCATATTTATATTTCAGCCATTGTCCTCCATACCAAAGAGGCTTTAACTGCTTGGCTTGCTTGATTGCAGCACACGTTTCACATTCATGGATAACCTGTGCAATAGTGTCCGTGGTCAAATCCACCCCTTGATCACAAGCCAATCAACATATTGCATCTTTTCCCTGGTGGCCTGAGGTGTCATGCGCCCACCGAGCTATAAATAGTTTACCCTTACGTTGCCAGACCAGATCCACCTGAGCCACTTCAATCTTAGCAGCCTGGTCCACCTGATCGTTGTTTTGATGTTCTTCAGTGGCCCACCCTTGGGTACATGAGCAACTACGTGGCATACTTCTACAACCAGATTCTCTACCCAGGCAGCGATATCTTGCCATAACATGGCAGCCCAGATGGGTTTACCTCATCACTGCCAGTTGGTCTGCTTCCATTGCTGTAGCCGTCCCCACAGAGCGTTTGCCATCATCCATGAATCAGTACAGAGATAAAGTACTGGCCATTTTTCTTGTTCAGCAATGTTTAAAGCCACCTGGGTGGCTTTCACCTTTGCAAACTGAGTTGATTCACCTTGTCCTTCAGCAGCTTCTGCAACTCGTTGTATAGGACTCCATACAGCAGCCTTGCACCTCCAATGTTTGCCTACATTACAACAGGACCCATCAGTGAACAGGACATACTGCTCTTCATTTTCTGGTAGTTTATTATATGGCGGGGCCTCTTCAGCATACATCACAACCTCTTCTGGCAGTATTCCAAAATCTTAGCCTTCTGGCCAGTCCATGATCACTTCCCAGAATCCTGGGCAACTGGAGTTTCCTATTTCAGTCTGCTGTGTGATCAGTGCAATCCACTTAGTCCACCTAGCTTCAGCTGCATGATGTGTAGAGGGGACCCTCCCTTTGAACATCCAGCCCAGCACCAACAGTCAGGGTGCTAGGAGGAGCTGTGCTTCAGTATCAATCACTTCTGAAGCAGCTCGAACTCCTTCATATGCTGCCAATATCTCTTTT